AACCAGTTCTAGACAGTACTGGCAGCCGTCAACCAGTTCTAGACAGTACTGGTAGCCGTCAACCAGTTCTAGACAGTACTGGTAGCCGTCAACCAGTTCTAGACAGTACTGGTAGCCGTCAACTAGTTCGAGACAGTACTGGTAGCCGTCAACCAGTTCTAGACAGTACTGGCAGCCGTCAACCAGTTCTAGACAGTACTGGTAGCCGTCAACCAGTTTTAGAAAGTACTGGTAGCCGTCAACCAGTTCGAGACAGTACTGGTAGCCGTCAACCAGTTCTAGACAGTACTGGTAGCCGTCAACCAGTTCTAGACAGTACTGGTAGCTGTCAACTAGTTCGAGACAGTACTGGTAGCCGTCAACCAGTTCTAGACAGTACTGGTAGCTGTCAACTAGTTCGAGACAGTACTTGGTAGCGTCAACAGTTCTAGACAGTACTGGCAGCCGTCAACCAGTTCTAGATAGTACTGGCAGCCGTCAACCAGTTCTAGAAAGTACTGGCAGCCGTCAAACTAGTTCGTAGATACTGGTAGTCACGTCAACCAGTTCTAGACAGTACTCGGCGAGCGTCAACCAGGTTCTAGAAAGTACTGGCAGCCGTCAACCAGTTCTAGGCTAGTATTCGGTAGCCGTCAACCAGTTCTAGACAGTACCTCGGTAGCCGTCAACCAGTTCTAGATAGTATGCCTGTAGCCGTCAACCGTTCTAGACAGTACTGGTGAAGCCGTCAACCAGTTCTAGACAGTACTGGCAGCCGTCAACCAGTTCTAGATAGACGTTCGGTAGCCGTCAACCAGTTCTAGACAGTACTGGCAGCCGTCAACCAGTTCTAGACAGTACTGGTAGCCGTCAACCAGTTCTAGACAGTACTGGTAGCCGTCAACCAGTTCTAGACAGTACTGGTAGCCGTCAACCAGTTCGAGACAGTACTGGTAGCCGTCAACCAGTTCTAGACAGTACTGGTAGCCGTCAACCAGTTCTAGACAGTACTGGCAGCCGTCAACCAGTTCTAGACAGTACTGGTAGCCGTCAACAAGTTCGAGACAGTACTGGTAGCCGTCAACCAGTTCTGGGCAGTACTGGTAGCCGTCAACCAGTTCTAGACAGTACTGGTAGCCGTCAACTAGTTCTAGACAGTACCGGTAGCCGTCAACCAGTTCTAGACAGTACTGGCAGCCGTAAACCAGTTCTAGACAGTACTGGTAGCCGTCAACCAATTCTAGACAGTACTGGCAGCCGTCAACCAGTTCTAGACAGTACTGGTAGCCGTCAACCAGTTTTAGAAAGTACTGGTAGCCGTTAACCAGTTCTAGACAGTACTGGTAGCTGTCAACTAGTTCGAGACAGTACTGGTAGCCGTCAACCAGTTCGAGACAGTACTGGTAGCCGTCAACCAGTTCTAGACAGTACTGGTAGCCGTCAACCAGTTCTAGACAGTACTGGTAGCCGTCAACCAGTTCTAGACAGTACTGGTAGCCGTCAACCAGTTCTAGACAGTACTGGTAGCCGTCAACCAGTTCTAGACAGTACTGGTAGCCGTCAACCAGTTCTAGACAGCCGTTAATTGGTTGTATCGCCTTTTCCGTTTTATTTGATTAACTTTGACAACCAGTTTAAAAAATGGAAAAAATCAGAAACTAATTATTTCGGCCATTAAAATTAGAGGGAATTTTTGATGACAGAATTTTAATTAGATTTTATCCAACAGATATGAAAAAAAATCAGAGACTACCTTTTGTCCAAGAGATTAAAAAAAAAGAAATAGGAAATAACGTTTTATCCAACAGATTAAAAAACTAAAATAAAATAGAATAAAAAAAAAGAAAAAACAGAAAGAAAAACTAACAGGAAGTAAAGTACTGTCAACAGATTACCCCAAAAATATAACAGGAAATACAGTTTTGTCCAACAGATAAAAAAAAGTAAAAAAAAAAAGAAAAAATCTTTTGAAATCCAGAACTTATTTTATATTTTTTTGTCCAACAGGTTAACAGAAAAACCCTTTTAGAATACAAAAGCCACCAACAAGTACATATTATTTTGTGTTAAAAGCCCGACTGAGCATAAGAAAAAAAAATTAAAATAAACCTTACAATTTATTACATATTCTTGAGATACTTAAGGAGTCAAGTCATGATAAACAGACAGACTGCATTAGCGTCTTTGATCTATATATTATACAAATTCAGTTTTATCTTTTTCCTTCTCTATTTTTTGTTTGAAATCACAGGAAAAGTTAAGTGAATGACTAATTAGTTTGTTTTGGTGTAGTTAATATGTAATTGTTATTACTGATTAGGGATTAAGTCATCCTGTTATGTCTCTTAACATCTGGTTTTTCTGTCATTTCAAGCAAAATTTTCGAAAAAAAGAAAATATCACTTATATTACATTATGGCTTATATCTTTTAATGCACAGATAGAATCAGCCAATCACGAGCTCGCTTATGTAAAACAACAAACACACATTGGCTTTAAGCAGCCAATGAGGAAGTTGCCATAAATATTGAAGTCTTTGTATTTTAATTAGTCAAAATATTTTTGGTTACAAAGTTTCAGTACAATTAAAAATACTTCACATTATCCAACCAACCAAAATTTATGTCTCAGTCGCGAGTTCTGATTGGTTGGTTCTGGCCTGTGGTAAACTTGAGCTGTTCTTTTTTATTTCAATTTCACGGTAAACTTAGCGTTTTATTTTTATTTTTTGAAATCCGTATTACAACTACAGTACTTAACCTTAAGCAAAACATATTGAGGCTTGACACACACACCTGCACGGCAAATATCCTACAGTGCAAACTACTAATAATACGTATTTGATCATATGAATAACCTCATTTTTTGTGATTTATGGTTTTGATACCATGTATGTATGTATACCATGTATGTATGTATACCCCCTCGTACATGTATGTCCCTGTACTGACCCGCATCATACAACTCGGTGATCAATACACTCACACAATATATACATATATATATATATATATATATATATATATATATATATATATATATATATATATATATATATATATATATATATATATATAATCACCAGTGCTGTGAGCACACCCCACTGTTCACGTTGTGTTGTGTCCTCTGGTTACAACATATTCATATTTTCAATCGACCGTTTAATTTATTTGTCACAAATCTTGTAAAAATACAAACACACACACATATAGTATTGTCTACCCTCACCAAGCTTCGGCTACACCACAACACCGAGCATTATAGTGCCGTGTCGTGAGCCCACAACACTCGGGAGACTTGGAAAATACGGTATTTTTTGTTAAAGTCTTTGACAGAACAAACATTATGATGGTTTAGCCAAGAAGGCTAAATGACCTTTTTCTTAAGTTCGAATTATCCCCGAAGCGTAACAAGGGTTAGAAACTTGTAATTGGGGAGAACTACTTTGTGACTAGTTAGGATGAAGCCCCTTTATACTGAATACATAGAAAATTATGACTTGTTTAGTTAGATTCTCAATTAGGTACTTATAGAAATTAAAATATACTCTCTAAGTCATTTATTTTAATAACTTTATCTCAGAGATCCACAGCAGAGACTCTTTAGTCTCTGTCTGTCTGTATATCAATCATCTGCAAATGAACTCTAGGTACCTGAGTAACTTGTTTAAGTGAATATAAGGGCAGTCGAGACCTCCTAAACCAGAAAAGATTGTTTTGACAACTGCAATTTTAGATTCATCCTGTAGAAGGTTAGAACTCCTACTGTAGAATGTAAGGACGCGTACTGTAGAAGGGAAGGTTGCTCCCACTGCAGTGTGCAGAGGCAGCTCTGATAATATCCCCTTGAAAGGTTAGGGTCCAGTGGTCCCGAGTCCTCAAAGACGCCAATCTAGCCAATATAATTTGGATCCATAAGATTTAAGTCCATTAGACTTGGGTCTGGTCCATTAGACTTGGGTCTGGTCCATTAGACTTGGGTCTGGTCCATTAGACTTGGGTCTGGTCCATTAGACTTGGGTCTGGTCCATTAGACTTAGGTCGGGTTTATTAGACTTGGGTCTATTGGAATTGAGGTTCACTACACTTGGGTCAGATTATCGTACTAGGCGTCATCTATAAATAAAACTTTCCATTTTAGGGACCCATCGGCCTTAAGACCCACCATTATTCACTTAAAAATAGTATTCAGTTACCTTAAATGCAACAGAGGCAATCTGAGTGTACAATGGAACGAATTCTATTTGATGGAAATATTCCTCACAAGACTAGAACGTTACGTGTCTCAATTACAGTCTACAGCTTGATCAAAGAAAACGAGGAAGCTTTAATGATGATGATGATACATAAATAGCCTACGTTAGGGTTTGGCTAATGCAAGAGCAGGCAAAGCTTTGTAAAAGGTTCAGTAAATAAGAAGTATTCATTCTCAAGCCGAGTTCATTGACGAATTGATTGATCTGTGTTTTCTATTTTGTTCAGTCTTGGGTCACTGGTTCAATTTCTACGTCTTTATAAGTAAGTAAATATTATCAAATGCTTCAATTATATGTTTTAGCGAGCGAACAGTTACATAAATTGTATCTATTAAAGGATAAAACTAAATATGTATTTCAATCAGATCCTTTCATTTTTTCTTCTTTTTTTTTTTTACAATCATGAGGTACACAGTTTATGCCAGTATTACACGTCGATATCATCATAGTCACCCTCTTCAAAACCAAAAACATCTCCATTTCACAGAAAACGGGAACTTCTCTCATTGAAAGCTCCCCCATAGTACAGTACAGTATATAAATAATATGTTTCAGGGATATCGTTGTTTTATTTTACAACAATCCGCCACCTTGCACTCTTGTAGGAGTTCGTTTTTTTGTGTTTTTTGTTACGTTTTTAAAGAGGATCTGACGCAGTGAACGAAGGGTTTCTCCCCTGTACCTATGACGTGGACATTGGGAGCAGCAGATGAAACTTGGTGGACCCGTTCAACCACCCACAAAGAAAAATGAAGAGGTCCACTACCTTTGCGCGCGCAGCTCCTTCATCCCTCCCTCACGACGGCTCCTGGAGGTTGAGGACCCTTGATGGTGGTGGTGGTGTGTTTAGGTTGAGGAGGGCACGCGAGGGTAAGGGTCGTGACGGAACCTTGCTCGCTCCCCTGGACTGCTGACCTTCAGAGCTCCGCCACCGCCGCGTCCTGTAGGTGTAAGAATACCGTGATATTCCTGAAGAACCAGAGGGACTTACTTGAAGACTTGTAAGAAGGCCGTAAGGTTCCTGAAGAATAGGGAACCTACACAAAGATTCGGAAGAGGAAGTATACCTGCTGAATAAACAGAGGAACCTATAAGGAAACACCTGTAACAGGAATGTAAAATGTCCGAAGAGGTTACAGACTTTACCTGAAGACCTACCGAGGGCCAAGACGTTTAGAATCGTAAGGTAAACAACATCAAATTACTGGAGGGTATAAAAGGACGCTTCTGTTTGTGGCAGAGAATCAATATAAGTTGAACAGTACTCAAAGGCTGCGATAACGATGTTGTAGGGAACATGAGTAAGTTAGTTGTGTTTTCAGTATCTCCGGTTAGGAAGAACATTGAACATATGAACCATTAAGAATGCTCTGATTACTGCTATCACTGTTTGTACTGTTACTGCTACGGATAACAGTACTGTTTATTTAATTTTCATAATTCAAAATTCAATTGATGCCGCTGTTACTACAACTTTTACAGCTACAGTTGCCGTTACTTGTACTTCTACTACTAACGTTTGACGAAATTCAGAATTACAAAAGTAAAGGAGAGAAATTCATGGTTTCAACATTGCCGAAGGCACTTTATACATGGACGCCACCCCAGGTTATTGAAAATAATGTTATCAAGAATTGAAACGATAAATTTATGAACTCGGTAACATAAACTAAGACGTACCCAGGAGCGGTCTGTGGGTCAGACCATGTCCCAGGTGAGTCTAGTGCTGCTAAAATAAAACAAAGTTGGATTACACTAAATGGAATGAGAGAAGTTAAATACAGACACAGGGAGAGAATATGAAAATGAACCCCAGAACAGTTTTAAGAATTGTTAACATGAATGGAACTAAAGTGAAATGAATTCAAAGAAACGAGTAGGAGTTAAGTCACCGCACTGAAGGGGTTAAGTCACTATACTTAAGGGGTTAATCACCAACTGCAGGGGATAAATCATTGTACTGAAGGGTTAAGTTAAGATATTTAAGGCCTAAAGTCATTGTACTCAACAGGTTAAATCACTCTACTGATGGGGTTAAGTCGAAATAACGGGTTAAGCAACTGTACTCAAGGGGTTGAATTACCAGACTCAAGGGTTAAGTCACCAGACTCAAGGGTTAAGTCACCAGACTCAAGGGTTAAGTCACCAGACTCAAGGGTTAACTTATTGTACTAAAGGGGTTAAGGTAGGTCGACATTACAGTAGCAGTGTTGTTGATAATGTTATGTTGCTTATATTATCCAACACGACGTACTGTACATGGAGAGCGACTTTCATTTAGAAGCGTTACTACTACTACTACCTACTACTACTACTACTACTACTACTACTACTACTACTACTACTACTACTACTACTACTACTGTTAATGCTTCTTTTAGAATTATGACCTCCAACCTCCCCTTATAACCACACCTAACTATCCTAATGCAAAAGTTAACAACCCTAGCTGAGTTAGTTATGCCACATATATACGTGTGTTGGCATTCCGTGACTGCTGCCTCATAGTGCGTGTATGTGACTGTTGTTGGTTTAAGGGCCAAAGATCTTGTTCCCCTGAGACACAGCAAAGCAGACCTGAGCAAAGAGAAAGATAGGCGACACTTCAACCAGGTCACGACGTAACTTCTGTGCTGCTGCTTCTGTTCTGACAACACCCCAGCATAGATGCACCTAGCACTACGTCCCATCTCTCCACCATGTTATGAACACCCGAGGAGTGATGCTGCCTTGGTCCACGTTATGGATTCCCTTGTCTTATTCTCTGTTCGCTTCGTTCTCATTTCTCCTGTGTACGCCTCGAGAGTCAGGTCACGGTGACATATGGCCAGGGAGTCGAATATCCTGATATCAAAGAAGGCTCGCTGTCCCCGCACCTACTGTAGAATCATCGAGCACTGACATCTACTACTACTACTTCTACTACTGCTGCTACTACTACTACTACTACTACTACTACTACTTCCACACTGACAACACGAATTCTCACAACATATTAAAATTATATCATGCCATTCCCTCTAAAAAACACGGCTAATATTAATTTACTAACTAGATTTCTTAAATTAGATTAAAATTACCATTACCATACTGACATAATAAGCGGCAGACGGAGCCTTAGATAAATATGTTAAATGGTTTAATTTGATTTACACTCTGAAGTAAAATTAGGCAGAGGACATCGGTGGAAAGTGTGTGTGTGTGTGTGTGTGTGTGTGTGTGTGTGTGTGTGTGTGTGTGTGTGTGTGTGTGTGTGTTGAACAGGATATCAATTTAGTGTATGTAAATGTATCAGACTAGATCTCTCTCTCTCTCTCTCTCTCTCTCTCTTTCTCTTCCGTTCTCATTCTCTTTCTCATTTTCTTCACTTTCTAATCATCTTTCTTTCTCACTCTCGCTTTCCCCCTTCCTCGTTTTCATTCTTCCTCTTCCTCTATCTCTCTTACTCACTCCGTCTGTGTCTGTCACTCACCCTCGCTGTCACTCACCTGTCACTCTGACCGTGTCTGTCACTCACCTGTCACAATAACCGTGTGTCTCTCTGTCATGCTGACCGTCTGTCACTCACCTGTCACTCTAAACGTATCGCTGTCACTCACCTGTCATTCTGTCCGTGTCTCTCTCTGTCACTTACTTGTCACTCGAGTCCCTGTCACTCACCTGTCACGTCGTCAGGGCCTCCTTCAGACAGTGGCAGCTCCGTCAGGTGATCATACAAGCCGTACCTGAGGAGACGTACACGGACAATTAGCCTATGTACGTACTAGATGAATATACGTACATGAGACCAATGTATGCCCATGTAGATATTTACACTTACATAAAGTTGTACATACCAGTATACTGTATATGTACGTAAAGGAAATACTTACATGAGCATATTGTATACATTGGTAGAATCACACATGAGGAATTAACTTACATGGGGACAGGGTGTACATAACGAAATACGTACACGAACCAATTTTGTACGTACATGATGGAAATACTTACAGGAAGACAGGATGTACACAATGGCAATACGTATACATGGAAACACGCACATGAAGAGAGCAATGATGTAGATACGTACACGAAATATTATAATTCCAGATATACACATAATAAAATATATAAAATACTTACATGGAGAGAATGTAAAATAATTGTAAAAAAAACGTACATGAGATTAAGGTTCATGTGCGTATATAATAGTCATTGGGGTTGAGGCTACATACATAAGGACAGTCATACCGTCCACAGGTACAGAGATGATGGCCTAATTAGTTTGCTCAGGTGTGGACTATAGTGTATCAGGGAGAGAGAGAGAGAGAGAGAGAGAGAGAGAGAGAGAGAGAGAGAGAGAGTCTGTTTCTTCCCTGTAAAAATATTCCCCCTATTCCTGACATCTCCCCAACGAAGATAAACACGACAGGTCACCCCCCCCTTCACCCCCTTGAAATCGTCTCCCATCTCCCACACAGCATCCTCCCCACAATAACTATCTCCCCTTCTCCCTCTCTTCTTCTCTCCCCTTCTCCCTCTCTTCTTCTCTCCCCTTCTCCCTCTCTTCTTCTCTCCCCCTCTCCCTCTCTCCTTCTCTCCTCCTCTCTCCTCTCTTCTTCTCATTCTCTCTTCCTCTTCTCTTCTTGGCTCGCCCTCGTCAGTAGGGAGAGCACGGATCGCCTGCTTCCTCCACCGCCTCCTGCTGCTGTACCGCCTCGACCCTTCACCATCTCGCCCTTTCCTGAAGAAGGCCCAGACGGTGGAGAGTGAGGGACTGTGGGAGGAAAAGAACTGTATGAATCCTGGCTCCTGCAGAAGGCGTAGAAAGAGGAGGATGGAAGGTGATCACAATGCGTCATTACTACAGCAAGTGTACAGTAGAGGCTGGGGGAGAGTGAGGGAGTGTGTGAAGGAAGGTGAGGGTGTGTGAAGGAGGGTGAGGGTGTGTGAAGGAGGGTGAGGGTGTGTGAAGGAGGTGAGGGGTGTGAAGGAGGGTGGAGGGCAAAGGAGGGTGAGGTGAAGGAGGCAGGTGAGAGCATGAAGGCTGAGGTTAGAGAGGGTGTGTATGAGGGTGAAGGAGGGAGGGGAAGGAGGGAGGGGTGAAGGAAGGTTAGGTGTGTGAAGGAGGGTGAGGGGTGTGGTTGAGGGAGGGTGTGTGTGAAGGAGGGTGGGGAGGGGTGTGTGAAGGTGAGGGTGTGTGAAGGAGGGGAGGTGTGAAGGAGGGTGAGGGTGTGTGTGAAGGAGGGTGAGGGTGTGTGAAGGAGGGTGAGGTGTGTGGGAAGGAGGGTGAGGTGTGTGAAGGAGGAGGAGGGGTGTGTGAAGGAGGGTGAGGTGGGGAAGGAGGGTGAGGGTGTGAAGGAGGTGAGGTGTGTGTGTGAAGGAGGGGGTGAGGGTGTGGGGAAGGGGAGGGAGAGGGTGTGAAGGAGGTGAGGTGTGTGAAGGAGGGGAGGTGTGTGAAGGAGGTGAGGGTGTGTAAGGAAGGTTAGGGGGTGAAGGAGGGTGAGGGGGTGTGTGAAGGAGGGTGAGGGTGTGTGTGAAGGAGTGAGGGTGTGTGTGTGAAGGAGGGTGAGGGTGTGTGAAGGAGGGTGAGGGTGTGTGAAGGCGTGAGGGTGCTTGTGAAGGAGAGTGACGTTGAGTGTCATATTTAAAATGACAAGATCCAAACGACTATAACCTAACCTAACCAACCCGTTACAGCTGGGTGAACTGGGAGCGCCCGGGAGTCAAACCACCGACCCAGGGAACAGAAGCGAGCACTGTATCCACTCTACTATACACGGAGCCAGTACTAACGCAGTAAAGGTAACACAGTATGGCTGGCAAGTTATTGTACACAAGGGGTAAATTCACTTTATGGGGTCATTTTTGTTGTTAGTTTATTGTCCCCCTGAGGTAAATTTATAGTGATTTAGTGGTAACTGTTCTGTAAAAGATGAAATATTCCCTAAGTGACCATACAATTTTTTAAACCTACTTTTGTAAAAAGATATATATATATATATATATATATATATATATATATATATATATATATATATATATATATATATATATATATATATATATATATATATATATATATATATATATATATCAAATCAGCTATAACGAGGTTATTATAACATCCTGTACTGTACTGTACTGTACTGTACTGTACTGTACTGTACTGTGCTGTACTGTACTGGATTGTATAGCATTTTATATGGAGATACATTCCTAACAACATTATTTGTTACCTTAGACCAGGGGTCACCAAGCTTTTTTCACAGTGGGCCGGATAACTGAAAGAATGACGAGCGCGGGCCGCATAATCATTCTGTTCAATACTTGCAAGCCAGAACGAAAGCCATGGAAACCATGGTAACGTCAGAGCGTAGGCGGAGCTACCACGGCGGGCCTGATGAACTGACGTCGCAGGCCGGATCCGGCCCGCGGGCCGTAGTTTGGTGACCCCTGCCTTAGACTGATACACGATGGCTAAATTTGGCAACTTATACATTAAGACAATTGATTAATGAATACGCAGTGGCTATTAAGCGGTCACGGGTTGAATAACTTGGTAGTCTTCGAAGCCGGAACGGCTACACAGACAGTCAGGCTATTCAGCCGTGAGGCCCACTTTTCTGTCCTGTCCTGCCCAGATATGTCAATACTCAGCTTCACCTATGACCCACATGGTGATAATCCTGTTGTTAGTTAAATTTTATTGATGTTTTATATAAAATTCCTACATTATTTATATTATTTATGTTAGGCACCAAAATTGGTGTACAATCACAAAGATCTATCTCTACTTGAGGTGATCAATGAACTTCAGAATGAACACTGCGGCTCCTGTTGTCTCGGTAGGGTTGTCAAAATCCTTCGTCCGTTGTGTCATATTGTCCAACACAATTTTGTATAGATAGTTTTTTGAGTGACTGTGCAGTACATACAAGCAATAGTATATTCCTTTGCCAATAAACACACAGTAACAATAGCACAGTAATAGTAAAACTAGAAACTATCTACTTCTCTGGTGCAATTCGTAAAAATCTCGCGGGAAACTAGCGCCTACTGAGAGAAAATCTGATGGACAACAAGTAAGAAAAATTGACAACAATGCAATCACCATAGCAACCGTTGCTAAGGGAGGTGTCGTGGAATTGCAAGGCATGACATAAATAACGTTACTCAAAAGCAAACAGTAACATCTCTCAGCACAGATAACGTCACACGACACGTAACTCACAAATTACATGTCACTCACAAACCACAACATCACTCAGAAAATACAACGTCACTTACCACACGTCAGGAGGGCAGCCTGGGCCCTGTTGAGTCCCCGAAGGGCTGGGTGAGGGGATGCCAGAGTGAGCCCCGAGGCCCTTACTGTACCCCCACCACGCCCCCCGGCCACTCCCACGCCTGGAGGAGGGGGCGACCCGGAGGACTGGGGGGAGCAGGATCCTTCCTCTGAGCCGCAGGTGGTACCGTTATTGTTGTTGTTGTTGGAGGTGCCGTTGTTGGCGAGGGAGGAGGAGTTGTGGCCCACTAGTAGCTGCATCTCCCTCATCTGGCCCTGGCGGATCTCGTCATTGTAATCCTGTGGGAGATGAGACACAGCTGAGGTATACAAGACTACACTTACACCTCTCCTGTCACTTAGGTACACATAACTACTGTACACTCACAGCCCTCCTCCCCCCCTCCCCCCTACCATCCCTGCTGGCCGTGCCCTAGGGTTGTCGAGGGCGGCACTACAGTCAACAGGTTGGGTGTATTCCGCCCACGTTATTGTGTTTCTCAGTGGTTCTTGTTGAAGTGGAAATAAAACGAGTAAAATTACGACACCAAATAATTGAGAGGAGAGAATAATGAGCCAGAGAAGATCTAATAAAATTATTATAGAAATATTAAAAAATACTAAAATATATATTTTTAAATGTAAAACAAAATAAGACTTTAAACATTAAAATTAAAATGGTGAAAATTACTTAAAACACCAAAACAAAATAACAAAAAACAAGTTAAGAAAACAATAATACAGTAATACAAATACGGAAAAAATGACTATTAGTGTAAAAAAATCGCCTAGAAGAATAATTATTGAAACAACAACAAACAAGGACTTGTAGGCTGATAAATATTCAGAAGCCAATAAATATATAACAAATGATTAAGTAAGTAGTGGGTGGCCTCTCAGCCCTAACCCAGCCTAAATAATTAACCTAAATAACAAGAGAAAAAAGAACTCCAGAGAAAACGGGACGCGGGTTGAGCACTCACCGGCACCAGGTATCGGCGTATCTCAGTAAGGGCGTAAGCAATGCGGGCATGGGCTTCTGCAGGAGGTGCCACAGCGGTGACTTCTACGTGTAGGTCCTCACTAAGGTGAGTGAACTTAGGATCACCTGACACACGCAGCTCCTCCTCCTGTAGGAATCAGAGGTCAAGTGTCAATACAGATAGGTCAATGTTGAGTGGTCAATAGGTCAAAGGTCAGGCTGGAGAGAGGCTAGAACAAGTAGTCAAAAGGTAAAAATTTTGAGTTAATTATTGGTGGACAAGCAAACTTTATATAAAATACCGGTCAACACATCATAATAACAACAACAATCAGCCAAAACACACGACAGGAACATAATATATTTCTGCCATAAAAGGTTCAGTAAACCATAGTTATTACAGTATAAGATCTTAAGCACGTGAGGAAACATTGTCCAGCTGTGAATCATCTTTAACTGTGATATTTACTTATAACTAACAATAAGTTGCTTCCGTGAGACTTGTTCAACGTGTTCTCTCAGTGTGTCAGTGTACCATGTGTCAGTGTGTAACATTTAGTACATATAGAGCTGACTGACGCAACAGGTAACCTGGGGTTCCTGACTGACCTTCTGCTTGTCTCTCATAGATCCTCGCCCCAGGATGGCCATCTTGGTCATGGTCTCCTCCTGTAGCCGCTTGAGGGAGTTTCCCTTCGGCCCCAGCAGCTTACCCACGAAGTTAAACTGTTGACGAGAAGAAAGAAAATGTGATAAGGTTATGTTAGTGATTTTAGAAAACGGGATATGATCAATGGGGAGACGATTGTGATAAAAATGGTCTCCAGACTTAACGGGACCAAACCTAACCTAACCCAACCTAATCATTTAAGACTGGTTAGGCTTAACCTATCCCAACATAATCCCACCCAACCGACCCAACCCAAAGCAAAATCTGATGTAAACATACCCTCTTGTGCTCCTCCTCCAGGTGAGGATGAGGAGGAGGAGGAGGAGGAGATGTGGTGGTGTAAGTGAGAGTGAGTGGAAAGAAGAGGAGGAGGAGTTATTAACTTACGGACAAAATCTCTCTCTCTCTCTCTCTCTCTCTCTCTCTCTCTCTTTTTAATAATTTGCTATTTAGTTGCAAATTCGTAGACATTGGCATGGTGGTTCATGAATACATACACGACCTGCAGCTATTTGTACCCCGGCCAGCCTCTCCCTAGTTAGTCCACCACAAAAATTCTTCACCACTTGAATATGTATTATGTGTCCAATGGCTCTTTACACCCCCCATGATGATACACAGTGACACGTGCGCACATAAACAGATGTACACACACACACACACACTAATATACATCTCAACACAGTGCATTAACTGCTGCCCTCGCCCCTGTACCACACTTACGTCACAGTACGGTCGCTGGAGGAATGTGTTTATTGGTATTATAATGTTTTAATAATGGATGATTTTAATCTGGGAGATTCTTTGTTGCGGAACGACATTCTAAAATGCAAAATTAATTAGTAACTGCAGTGAACGTGAACGGTCGACAATTTTTTTTTTACTTTTATTTTATTTTATTGAGACAATAATTTATACCAGAAAATAAAAATGAGATTATGAAAATTGGACGAAGGTGAAAAAAAAGGTTATAAATTTTTGGGTGTGTCGTGAAGCCCATGGAGGGTCTGCCTCACCCGACACACTCGCTGCGGCAGGAATGGTTCTGTCTGGTCCTTGTGCAGTACAGGTACAGATGCAAGTACAGGTAACTCCAACAGGTCATTTATACCCTGAACTAATAATAATGGTTGCCCCTCATGTAACGAGGATGGCCGGCCCTAGGGCCACCTAGGCGTGAATTTCTTTTAGGTGTAGAAGTTGTTGCCAACATAACAACCACACCCTGAGTTAACGAGCTGCATGACCCAGTGTCAAGGAATAGTCCGAGAAGACCGGATAACTCGCCAACTGCACTGGCTAACCATTACACCGGAATACGATCCGAAACTCAATTAACAACCAGGTTCCCAACTACTGCTGGGTAGATAGTGGCAAATGGAGTAAGGAAACTTGCCCATAGTTTCACCCTGCGTGGGGATCGACCCTGGGTTCACTCGCTTGCGAGGTGAGCATGCTGACCATTACACCACACTAACACTAGGTGGAGTTCCCTACCACACTGTTGTTGGTATATCATGTTATTCTCGATAGGTCAAAACATCCTGTTATAATTATCTTCAGAACTTAGTGAGAGACTACCTGGGTGATTATGTTGCTGCTCTCTCTCTCTCCATATCAGTTCAACACACCGTCTGTCTCTCTCATATAAACACCCCATAAACACTGGATAATAACACAAATATTATTAAAAAAGAAAAAAAAAACGGGTCCCACTATTTGGAAAACCTAGACTGTTCATTTTTACAAAGTTTTCGAGATTCAGTAGTAGGTTTCAAATAGTAGGTCTTAGTAGTAGGTCTCAGTAGTAGGTCTCAGTAGTAGGTCTCAGTAGTAGTAGGTTTCAGTCACTGCTTCGTCAGATACGTTCTCACTTCAGCAGTTAGGGGACAAAATTCACGTCAGGAACTCTTGGGAGATTCGACCTTTGGACCAGAGGTTTGTTTCATTGTCAATAAGCTGCGTTAGTAAGGACGGCAGGGCTTGTTCCGGGTGAGTGTGGTGGTATATTGAAGCAGCTGGGGAAGAAGAAAAGTTCTCTCAGTGGGGATGTTAGTTTGTCAGTAAGTCAGGTCATTCAGCAAGCCAGTGAGTCAGTTGGTTAAGTCAATAGGTCAGCTAGTGAGTCATTTGGTCTGTTGATAAGCCAGCTAGTGAGTCATTTGGTCTGTCAATACATCAGCAAGTGAGTCAGTCAATAAGTTAGTAAATCTTTCAGTCAGTAAATAAGTTAGTCAGTCAGCAGGTCAGTCACTCGGTCATTCAACGAGTCCGTCAGTTAGTCAGCTAGTATGGAAACCAGTCAGTCAGTTAATATGGGGCAGTCAATATGCCAGTCAGTCAATCAATCAGTCAATAAGTCAAGACAGTCACAGAGGGCAAGTCACAATCAATAGAGGATAATATTGACAGTTGATCCATGGATATTCTCTGACTGTCCCACCTGTCTGCTGTCTACTACCGTATAATAAGACGCCTGTCACCCTGATCCGTTCTTTTCTTTTTCCCAGTTATTTAAATCCTCTCGTGTCATTTCTTTGTTGTTGTTGTTGTTGTTGTTGTTGTTTGTTTTTTGTTTGTTGTTATTTGTTGTTGTTATTCGTCTCTCCTTCCTTCTTCTCTTCCCCTTTGCCTCTTCTCCCCTTTCCCCTCTCCCTCTACCCTCTCCTTTGCCCTTCTCTTCCTCCTCCTTCCCCCTTAACTTCCCTCTCTCTCATCCTCTCTCCCAGTCTCCTCTCCTCTTCCCTACTCCCCCTGGAGGTAAACAGCTTAAGATCCCTCTGGTTGAAGGTCTTGATCTCTCACTGACAACGTGTTCACAAATCTCTGACGTCCTGGGCAGAGAGTGGTGCCTAATAAGATCTCCAGAGGCGCTCACAACTTCTTCCCTGATTGGTCTGGTACTAGTGACGTATAAGATAACTTGTTCTACAATTGGTGTGACATAGGTGACGTATAAGATAACTTGTTCTATGATTGGTGTGTCATGAGTGACGTATAACTTGTTCTATGATTGGAGGGACATAAGTGACGTATAAGTAAATTGTTCTATGATTGGTGTGGCATGAGTGACGTACTAGATAAGTTGTTCTATGATTGGTGGCATAAATGACGTATAAGATAAGTTGTTCTATGATTGGTCTGGCATGAATGAAGTATAAGATAAATTGTTCTATGATTGGTCTGGCATTAATGACGTATAAGTACATTTGGTCTGAGATTGAGCACTCTGCCTTTACTTCCTCTCACGGTGTTTGGTCAAAGTTCATCTCTATAATCCACACTGAGCTGATTACAGGATTAACTAAGGATTAACACATCCAAACATTAATAACACCAAACACGTAAGTCAATCGGATACTAAGAGTTCACCTGATACACTCACACTCTCGTCACCGACTGACAGTGTTAAGAAATCATCAGATGTTCTTCCACGCCTCTAGGTTAGGTTAGGTTAGGTTAGGTTAGGTTAAGCCTCGTGGGAGATGAGGTAGGTTAAGTGTCCCAGCAGGTAGATTAAGTATCCCAGCAGGTAAATTAAGTGTCAACCAGGTAAATTAAGTGTTCCCAGGTAAATTAATGTCCAAGCGTAAGTGTCCAGCAGGTAGGGCATTCAGTGTCAGCAGGTAAATTAAGTGTCAAGCAGGTAGTTAGTGTTGCAGCAGGTAGATTAGGTGTCCCAGCAGGTAAATTAAGAATTGTTCCAGCAGGTAAATTAAGGTGTTCCAGCAGGTAGATTAAGTATCCCAGCAGGTAAATTAATATCAACGTCAATGCAGGAGATGAAGCCAAAGTCAGCCAATCAGGAGAAGCAACCCAAAGTCAGCCAATCAGGAGAAGCAACATGGAGGCGCCCAGATGAACCTGATATTTACACCTGTGTTCTTCTCAGTAGTTGATAATGTATATAAAGGTGACCAAGGAACGGAACATTACGATATATATTCTAACTTAATCCTGTGTTTTAATCCTAATCCTGTGTTTTTAATCCTGTTTTAATCCTAATCCTGTGTTTTAATCCTGATCCTGTGTTTTAATCACCACCACAAACCACCTTTTGGTCATATAAGTTATACGTACATATACACCGATTTAACAAAGTAACAATAACAACAATAATAACAACAATGACAACAACAATAATAGCAACAACAATGACAACAACAACAATGACAGCAGCAATAATAACAATAATAACAACAATGACAACAATCAATAATAGCAACAAACAATGACAACAACAACAATGACAGCATGCAGCAATAAATAACAACAATGACAAAACAATAATAGCAACAACAATAATAACAATAATAACAACAATGACAAACACAAAAATAGCAATAACAATAATAATAAGACCAACAATGAAAAACAACAACAAAATCAATAACAAACAAAAACAAAAATAACAAGACAAATTAGAAAACGACACAGAAAGAAAATGGATAAAACGAAATATAGAATAAGGATAAAATCAGAGAGAAGGAGCATGAGAGGAGGAGGAGGAGGAGCATGAGAGGAGGAGCATGAGAGGGAGGAGCGAGAGAGGAGGAGGCGTGAGAGGAGGAACATAGAGAGGAGGGAGCGTGAAGGAGAGGAGGGCGTGAGAGGAGCATGAGAGGAGGGCGTGAGAGAGGGAGGAGCGTGAGAGGAGGAGCGTGAGAGGGAGGAGTGAGGAGAGGGAGGGAGCGTGGGGAGAGGAGCATGAGAGGAGGAGCGTGAGAGGAGGAGCAGGGGGAGCATGAGAGGAGGGCATGAGAGAGAGGGAGCGTGAGAGAGGGAGGGAGCATGAGAGAGGACGTGAGAGAGGGAGGGCGTGAGAGAGAGGAGGAGCGTGAGAGAGGAGAAGATGAGAGGAGGAGCATGAGAGGAGGAGCGAGAGGAGGAGCGTGAGAGAGGAGGAGCATGAGAGAAGGGCGTGAGAGAGGGGAGGGAGTGAGAGAGGGGAGGGGAGGGGGAGAGGAGGAGGTGGGAGAGAGGGAGGGAGGGAGAGAGGAGGAGTGTGGAGAGAGAGGGAGCGTGAGAGAGGAGGGGAGTGAGAGAGGGGAGGAGT